CGACGCACACCGTAGGCTTGGTGCGTGGAGCAGGGACTGGCCGGACTGGGCTGGCGACGCACACCGTAGGCTTGGTGCGTGGAGCAGGGACAGGCCGGACCGGGCTGGCGACGCACACCGTAGGCTTGGTGCGTGGAGCAGGGACTGGCCGGACTGGGCTGGCGACACACACCGTAGGCTTGGTGCGTGGAGCAGGGACAGGCCGAACCGGGCTGGAGACGGATAGGAGCCCTGGAGTGAAGAGCGGCCACAACCCGTCCTGGCTGAATGCCTACCCTCACACACTCTGTGTGAGGCATCCGCACAGGACGGTGTATCCGTAACCTGGTGGCCTCCAGAATCCGCCCCTCTTTTGCCTCCGTCAGCCCCGTCGTCCATGCCGTGTGCCCCCCCCTAAAATTTTTTTGGGGTTGCCTCTCGTCAGTCTCACTCCATGGCCGGCGATCCTCCCATGTCCAGTCTGCCTGCTCCTGGACACGCTGCTTGGTCCTAGTATGGTGGGTTTTTCTGTCACGATCGTCAGGGAGAGAAGTAGACCAATGCGCAGCGTGATGAACAAACATGACTTTAATTAGTTAAAGCACGAAACAATAAACGACTCGTGAAGTCCACGGTGACAATGACCGAACACGGAACAAAAACCCACAAACACAAAGTGAAAAACAGACAGTTAAATATGGCTCCCAATCAGAGACAACCAGCCAACAGCTGACACTCGTTGCCTCTGATTGGGAGTCACTAAGGCAAACATAGAAAACGACAAACTAGAACCCCCAACATAGAAATAAACCACATAGAATGAACACACCCTGGCTCAACATATAGAGTCCCAGAGCCAGGGTGTGACAGTAACAAAACAAAATGTTGAATAAGTCAAGGGGTATGAATACTTTCTGAAGGCACTGTATGTATAAAAGGCATATATAAGCATTGTTTACTATTTAGATTTCTTTAAAACTGTAATTCTTGGAGTTCAGGTGTTTGACGTGATTGATGGGTGACTAGGTACATTCTTGTCAAATAAATATGCTTATTCAGTCATGATTATGGATACATTCTGCAATGAGTTAATCTGTCTTTAAATCTGCAACAGAACATGTCAACAAGTTACTTCTGAATTGCTTTAATATATAGCATTGCATTCTGACACCATGAATTGAAATAGATTTCACCTCGTTCATGTAGTTGGCAGAAATGATAAGGGATTAAATATAGACCTCCACCGGCTGAAGGAAAAGAGGATCTGGTAAAATAAGGGTGTGATGAGGTGATGTTGAAGGAGTCAGGCGCAGGAGGGTAAATCACAGAATAACAGGCTTTATTCCGCAACCACAAAGTTACGCAGTAACACGTCAAAACACTCCAGTGCGCAAAACAGGCGCACTGGAAAATACAAGGCACACTGGGAAATATCGCGGCGATACAAAATAGAAGGAGCTCCACCGAGCTTCACTACTCTCCACAATAAACAATCACACACAAAGACAAGGGTGCAGAGGGAACACAGGTACTGATGAAGGGATATGAACCAGGTTTGTGTAATAAACAAGACAAATCAAATGGAATGATGAGATGAGGAGCGGCAGTGGCCTGAAGGCCGGTGACGACGAACGCCGAAGCCTGCCCGAACAAGGAGAGGAGGCAGCCTCGGAGGAATTCATGACAAAGGGTATGTTGCTAATATCATCTAGGTAGGTAGCTAGCTAGCTTCCTTGCAAAAAAAATAGCCTACTATTCATGGCACATTGCAAATATCTGACTGCTACTAGGACAGCATTATGTACAAGTCCAAATGCATAAATAATCCAACAAATATTAGTTAAATAAAATATGGAACAGTCAGTAAATGAAAATGTTCAATATCTCTTTCATTTTTGGATCAATGTAGCTAGTAGCTAGCTACCTGACAGCAAAGGTGTAAGCTAGAGATGACGTGCAGGAGCTTGCAGGGTTTTGTAGTCTTGCATGGTGTCTACTTTTATGATAATTAGCATGTTCGAATCTGAGAGTAAATAGAGCCGAATATATTGATAAATGACACCTTGTCCGAGAGAGATTTACACAGTTATCAAAACGCCATGCCAGGGAAAGCCTACATGAAACACATACCTTGTTTGAAATGGTTCTTATTCCCTATGGGGAAAATGAATGATTGGAACCATTTCAGTATTTGACCGCTAGGTTTTATGGGTATTATGACGTTGTCCAAGCAGTCAACGGAATTGTTGCACTCAGTGAGCACGGCTGTCAACAAGTGTGCTACTCTTCTGCAAGTTCAAGAGTGTGAAGCTCTATAATGTCCACAAAATTACAAACAAACCTATTTGACAGTAGTAAACAACATATTGCCAACTACAAAACCAAACAAACAGGATTGCAAAAGCAAAAACAGGAGAAAAATAGGCCTGCATTCTATGTCATCCAGACAACAGTTTACAAGTCGGCTTCATCAAAGGAACTTACGATAGAATTTGGCCAAGCTTGATCTTTATTCCAACCCATTGAATCGGGAGAAAACCTTATGCATGCTATCTATTACAGCAGGTAAGACGCCGTCCTGTAATTATTGGGAACTGTCACTGACACCGAGATCGAAAATGTTTTTGTGGTGCAATCATGCCTTGGTGGTGCAATCTGCGGTGCTATCCTCCCATGTCCCTCTGCTCCCAAGACAATACTATTATATTCTATTGTATTCTATTGTATTCCGTGGCTTTCTACAACATCAAACTGTATGAAATGTAATTGTCTTACAAATAGGCTACATTTAGACCCTACTTACAATTATGTCATTGCAATGTTATGATTATGTAATGACTGTTACTATTTCTTTCACTGTCATGGAAATTACCACCAGGGACACCTGAAGTCAATCTTAAATTAATCATTGTTTATTAACAGCAAGCTGGAGAGGTCACAGTCAAAATTAGATGCCTAAAGTACCAGTCTAAAGTGAGCTCCACCCGGGCAGTCCCGTTAGTTCTCTTATATACTGCTTACACAGACAAGTTATATTTGCATGATTTAGCTTATTCATTATTCATAATTAATTCATCATTAACGTTTGGTTCATGCATGTGACTGACCAATACCTCATAAGGCTTCTTCTCTCCAAGCTGAGACCTTGAAACTGAGATATTCCTTTCGTTCTTAAAACAAGGTTCTGGGCATACTGCCAAATTGCAGATACTGATAGTGAGGATTCCTCCCAGGCACGTTCAATCAGTGACTTGCATGAACACAGAAATTGGTTATTATAAAAGCACAAACATTTTCCATCACATTCCCTCCTCTTATCACTCACTCTGTGATAATTATCATTACATTTTATTCATTTATTATTACTTAAACTATCAAAGGAGTAAGTAAACAAAATCAACACATAAAACCACAGACAGTTTCAAACCCTTCAATTTCTGTTCTATCTCGTCTTAAAATCTTTGGCCTATCCATACAAAAGGTCTGAGAGAGAAACTGTACGTTTTGTGACTTGTATCTCACATGAAATAAGGCAGTTTGTGTAATAACCTATTTATGTTTATATTTACTAAATATCTACATTGATGCACTGAACCCATTTCAGATACACAGAAGTAACCAGAAAATACTTGTGTATCACAAGATGAGAGCATTACAGTATATAAACCACTATCTGCAGTTATAAATCGTATATATAGTATATTACATTTACATTTACATTTTAGTCATTTAGCAGACGCTCTTATCCAGAGCGACTTACAGTTAGTGCATACATTATTTTTTATTGAACCCACAACCCTGGCGTTGCAAACGCCATGCTCTACCAACTGAGCTACATCCCCGTATATAAACCAGTATATCTGTTGTAGGTATAAATCACTACTTTGGCAACATTTGTGGTATGGGGAAGTCTACAGGAATAACTAGAGTCCAATAAAATAATCATTAACAAAGTGGAATAGTCATCTCTAGCTGTCTGACCACTTTGCAATATTTACAATTCACAAGAAATGTGGAAGACTATCATGATAAAAATAGAAATTAGCAATTAAACTTTAATATTCATAGCAATAATCTAGAATAAGAGAGGTTTACTTATTTATATTTCATATTTAATGAGCAGCATTTTTATTCACTGATTGAACACATCAATATAATCGATTAAGCAAATCAATATAATCGATTGAACAAATAATCAATATAGGTTCTGTATGTACATTTACCAAAATAAACTCTCTATGAAAACATCCCACTATCCAGATTTTTCTTTCTTTCTGTAGTGCTTTTTTTCTTTGTCATTATTTTCTTTGAATACAAAATGGTACTTATAGTTTTATACAACTATAGTTTTATATAACAGAAACTTAATCAGCAGCTGAGATCTGGTACAGTATCTCTGAGACTGCAGATAAACACATTTATAAAAGTCAGAATAACACATTTCAATTCGTTTAGAGGTTTCCCCAGTGTTTGTTCAACAAGAATCATTTTTAATAAACCCGCATAATGTCTGTATACATAAAATTATACATCGCAAGTCAGTTGAGGAAATAATGTGCAGTAGTACCTTTGGAAATCAGTAGAGTTGCAATTTGCATTACATAGAGAGAACAGAGATGAAATAAGTAATAGTTAGAATACAATTTAATTTACACCATTATGATTAGAATTAAATGCATTATCATCATCACTGCTAATCATGTACATTTAAAAAATAAATGTATATTCATTCTGTGGATTCTGAAGCATAAAACTGCTGTCTATCAGTTCTTGCATGAAGTAGTCATCATAAAGAGTTGATTCTCTGACAGTTTGTGGATGAGCTATGCCCCCCAAGGAGCAAAAGGGTTTAGGTCCAGTCTCTCCTCACTGTCTCAAGGTGTTTGTAAATTTCAAGGGATTAGCTAGGAAATAAAAGTCTTTATCTTCCAGAGAACTATCAAATTCAGCCCTATCCATCCAGGGCATGTTCCAGCCCTCTCCAGTCCGTAATCCAGACCCTCAATGCTGGGTTGAGTAGTCTAGAAGGTGGGCATCATAGTGGCAGTGTCCACATAGCCGCTTGTGGTCAGGCACGTGCTTTCCTGAAAGTGGGTAGCAGCAGGCGTGTGTGTGTCCATCTTCCCTTGCTGCTGTGTGGGACAGCTCTGCTCTGAAGCTCCCACCTTCACCTGGTAGTCACAGCACAGGCCAGCCTCAGCCATCTCCCTCTGCAGCAGGAGCACATTGTAATTGTTCACCCCATTGACTTTACTGTAGTCCTCTCCGGCCCCGCTAAACTGTACCTGGAAGGGGCCTTGGCCGTGGCTGGAGAGGGGCTTCGGGACCAGCTGGTTCTCCTGGTTCACCTTTTGGACCTCCACGTACCCCATGGACTGGGAGTGGGGCAGCCCAAGCGCCGTGGCATCTCTCTGGCGCTCCAGACTGGAGATGTTGAAGTTTCTGTGTGCCTGGAGGTGGTGGGCCTCCCAGTGGTGGTGGGCTCTGGCGGACGGTGATCTGCTGAGACCGTACTCGCTGTACTCTCCCAGGCCGTCCCTGTACTCTGGGTGGTGGTGGGAAGAGGAGGAGGTGGGGAAGAAGTTATCTGGGACGCTGCGCTGCTTGGGCACCTCAAGAGTACCAAGGTGGTGGTTGTCGGAGGATCCATGGATCGACGAGGAGAAGACTGACAACCAGGTCTTGACCCTCCCATCTGATGAATCTGGGCAGTCCACCTCCTGGCTGTCTCCCATCTCCAGCCTCTCCCAAGACCCTGCCTGGCCCTGCAGAAGTTCAGTTTCCTCATAGCTCGACTCCTCCTTGGACTCCACACCTCCACACTTCTCCATCAGCAAGGTGTGGCTGTCACAGCTGCCTCGGCCCGAGTCGCTGTCCGATGGGCCCTTGGACTTGAGGCAGCCAACATCTTGGAGGTCCTTCCCCTCCAGCATCAGCTCCTGTTCCTCGTTGACGTAAACCTCCAGGTATTCCACCAGCAGGTCCTCGTAGTCTGTAGACCTCGTAGGAAAGCTTTGGATGACAAATGCGTTGAACACCTCTTCTGATTTCCCATTCTGTAGAGCAAAGAGGTTAATGGGAAAGGAACAATTTATATGAACATTTATATGAACAGAGCAACAACAATTAACAATGTAAAGCCTGTCCTTTTTAGCCAAATACTGAATGAATCAATGTGATTATTACTTTACCTTGAGGAGCTGTTTATCAAATCCTTTTATTTTAGGTCCAGGAACTGGAGGTAGTAGACAGTGCTTCACACTAGAGAGAGAGAGAGACTTCACTGGTCTTGGGGACAGCTGTTTGAGTGCTTGACTCACAATGTTGTCCATTAAAATCTCCAGACAAGAGAATACTTAATAAAATGGAGAGTTCTCCTGTCAGCTTCTTCATTGATTGCCTGTAGTCTTATCATGGCTGTGATCGTAACTTCAGAAGGTCCTTCTTACCTGTTTCTGTTCATGTTGATGATCCATGTGAGAATGAGAATGATGAAAGATAAGAAGATGGCTATCAGAATCCACATGGACTGTTCCCTGGGAATATCTGCCAAACACAACAAGAGAATAACATTAGAATACAACTTTATTGTCCATCAAATGTTTTTTGATTTATTAGAAATGTTTATTTTGGCTGTCTGTCATTTAATTCCCAAACCCCTGGAAACACACACATTTACCCCCGAGTGGTTGAAAGCAACACAGCACATTCGTGACTGATATGGAGTCTGTGTATAGGGACTTACAGTCTGGGACTTTGACATAGCTGGCGGCGCTCCACTCGCTCCAGAAGCCGTGGTCTGGCTTGCAGCGGACCTGGACAATGTAGACTCCTCCAGAGTGCAGGCTGAAGATGTTGAAAATGTTCTGCTGGCCTGCATGGTGCTCCTGTAAGGGAAAAGACAAGATAATATTAGAGATTGTGTATAACCACAAGGGCATTGATACTTTCATGAATATTATATTTTTTTTATACCGTTTTTTTTTTTACATACACTTTCATCCAAAGCAGTGCATGCATACATACATTTCTAGGGTGTGTATGTGATCACTGTGGGAATTCAACCCATGACCTTGGCCACACAGGACAGGGGATACATTTTACTTCCTGCATTAACTTTCTAAGAAACAGGCCTGAACTTTTTCTGAGTAATGATATAAGTGTAACATAGTTAATAACCTTGATCATCTGGCTTTGAAAAGTTTCCAGGAACTTTCTCCCAACGACCCTTGAAGGATTTGTTTTATCTAACTGGTTGATTATTCAAATAACACAGCAATAATGTCCAATCTTTAAACAGGGAGGTAGTATACAGTGGGGAGAACAAGTATTTGATACACTGCCGATTTTGCAGGTTTTCCTACTTACAAAGCATGTAGAGGTCTGTCATTTTTTATCATAGGTACACTTCAACTGTGAGAGACGGAATCTAAAACAAAAATCCAGAAAATCACATTGTATGATTTTTAAGTAATTAATTTGCATTTTATTGCATGACATAAGTATTTGATCACCTACCAACCAGTAAGAATTCCGGCTCTCACAGACCTGTTAGTTTTTCTTTAAGAAGCCCTCCTGTTCTCCACTCATTACCTGTATTAACTGCACCTGTTTGAACTCGTTACCTGTATAAAAGACACCTGTCCACACACTCAATCAAACTCCAACCTCTCCACAATGGCCAAGACCAGAGCGCTGTGTAAGGACATCAGGGATCAAATTGTAGACATGCACAAGGCTGGGATGGGCTACAGGACAATAGGCAAGCAGCTTGGTGAGAAGGCAACAACTGTTGGCGCAATTATTAGAAAATGGATGAAGTTCAAGATGACGGTCAATCCCCCTCGGTCTGGGGCTCCATGCAAGATCTCACCTTGTGGGGCATCAATGATCATGAGGAAGGTGAGGGATCAGCCCAGAACTACACGGCAGGACCTGGTCAATGACCTGAAGAGAGCTGGGACCACAGTCTCAAAGAAAACAATTAGTAACACACTATGCCGTCATGGATTAAAATCCTGCCGCGCACGCAAGGTCCCCCTGCTCAAGCCAGCGCATGTCCAAGCTTTTTGGTCTAAACTCCACTCGCCGTGTTTGGAGGAAGAAGAAGGATGAGTACAACCCCAAGAACACCATCCCAACCGTGAAGCATGGAGGTGGAAACATCATTCTTTGGGGATGCTTTTCTGCAAAGGGGACAGGACGACTGCCCCATATTGAGGGGAGGATGGATGGGGCCATGTATCCCGAGATCTTGGCCAACAACCTCCTTCTCTCAGTAAGAGCATTGAAGATGGGTCATGGCTGGGTCTTCCAGCATGACAACGACCCGAAACACACAGCCAGGGCAACTAAGGAGTGGCTCCGTAAGAAGCATCTCAAGGTCCTGGAGTGGCCTAGCCAGTCTCCAGACCTGAACCCAATAGAAAATCTTTGGAGGGAGCTGAAAGTCCGTATTGCCCAGCGACATCCCCAAAACTTGAAGGATCTGTAGGTCTGTATGGAGGAGTGGGCCAAAATCCCTGGTGCAGTGTTTGCAAACCTGGTCAAGACCTACAGGAAATGTATGATCTCTGTAATTGCAAACAAAGGTTTCTGTACCAAATATTAAGTTTTGCTTTTCTGATGTATCAAATACTTATGTCATGCAATAAAATGCAAATTAATTACTTAAAAATTATACAATGTGATTTTCTGGATTTTTGTTTTAGATGCCATCTCTCACAGTTGAAGTGTACATATGATAAAAATTACAGACCTCTACATGCTTTGTAAGTAGGAAAACCTGCAAAATCGGCAGTGTATCAAATACTTGTTCTCCCCACTGTAGCTAATCACTATTCCTGTGACACAGAGATTGCTGGTATAGCATTGTGGCTGTAGGGTATTGGGCTGGGCTGTTGTACCTAGAAAGGCAAGCTGCTAATTAGTAACCATAAACTTTGACTTCAGTCCCTCGGTGTAGATAGCCTAGAACCGTGATCCTCAAACCTGCTCCTAGAGGGCCGCAGTACTACAGGTTTTTGTCCCAGCTTAGTAAATCCTCACACTCAGGGTTGCCAGGTCTAGCAAACGTTTCTCTAGCGCAATGACCACTCAGAACCCGCCCAAAAAGCCTGAGAACTAGCCTTTTTTTTACTCAGCAAGAGAGGAGTTGCCACATTTATCCAATAAACTCTTTGTCCATTACGTTATCCGTTATCCAGCCAATTAAGAAGGAATATTGACGTAACTTGTAACGACGTCAGAAGCTAAAATCATAATTATTGCAAGCTATGATGTGACATAATAAAGGAATTTAGCTTGCTGGCTCACTAGCTGCGTTACGTATATGATCTGTATAGTAATTTTATTAGAATCAGAAATCCATGTTATGCTAGCTAGCTAACGTTGAACCCAGTTGCTTTGCTTTAGCTACCTGCAGATTCATACTACAGCTATGACAATCAGTTCGTATTGGTGGTAGTAGTATGAGTTGGGATTATGCCGGTTCATTGTTAATGTGTGTTACCAATTGTTTTCTTGGTGACTATGGTCCCAGCTGCCTTGAGATCATTGACTAGATCCTCCCGTGTAGTTCTGGGCTGATTCCTCACCGTTCCTCATTGCAACTCCACGAGGTGAGATCTTGCATGGAGCCCCAGGCCGAGGGAGATTGACAGTTCTTTTGTGTTTCTTCCATTTGCGAATAATCGCACCAAATGTTGTCACCTTCTCACCAGGCTGCTTGGCGATGGTCTTGTAGCCCATTCCAGCCTTGTGTAGGTCTACAATCTTGTCCCTGACATCCTTGGAGAGCTCTTTGGTCTTGGCCATGGTGGAGAGTTTGGAATCTGATTGATTGATTGCTTCTGTGGACAGGTGTCTTTTATACAGGTAACAAACTGAGATTAGGAGCACTCCCTTTAAGATTGTGCTCCTAATCTCAGCTCGTTACCTGTATAAAAAACACCTGGGAGCCAGAAATCTTTCTGATTGAGAGGGGGTCAAATACTTATTTCTCTCATTAAAATGCAAATCAATTTATAACATTTTTAACATGCGTTTTTCTGGATTTTTTTGTTGTTATTCTGTCTCTCACTGTTCAAATAAACCTACCATTAAAATTATAGGCTGATCATTTCTTTGTCAGTGGGCAAACGTACAAAATCAGCAGGGGATCAAATACTTTTTTCCCTCACTGTATGTCTAGACAATAGTAACCCATCCACTTAACTAGATGTGGCTGGGGGATGGATATAGCATTTATTTCACATCACCCATCAATTTAGACAAGTGTGTCTGGGTAAGCGTAATCTAATAAATATGAATTATACAATATTTATACAATATTTTTATCTGGACACTTTCTGTTTTTGATATTGCTACTATGCATATATACAAGTAACCATTTCACTGTACCGTTTGCACCTTCCGTATCCTGTGCATGTGACAAATACACTTTTATTTGATATATTGTGTGTTTACCAGAGACGGTAATGTGAAGAACAACATGTCCTGCACCAAAGTCAGATTAGGATATAGGCCAAGGATTAGATCAAGTGTATTTTTACCTGAAGTTTTTCCTTATTTCCACTTTTAGTCTGGAAATCTTTGGTTGTTTACTAAACTACTCACTCTGTTTAGTACATGGCCACACATGTGAATCCTTAAAGAGATGGGTGGGGCTAAGCCTTAAGAGGGTGTGAACGATGTTGAATGGGTGTAGACAAAGAAGAGCTCTCCAGTAGGTGTACCAAAACATTCAAGGGCCATTTTCTCAAAAGTGGTTTTAAAAGTTTGTATCCAATGAAGAAAACACAATTTCAAATTTTGCTACATAAGACCGAATCCAGGTGGTGGGTCACATTTGCATGATTAATATAGAATTACATTTTTTGTTCAAGCTGGGCAGAAGTGCATTCTTGTACGCTTTCATTCTATCACAACAATATATTTTAAATACAAATGTTACATTTTGGGGATTGTGAAAAGTGCTTTATGAATGAAATACAGTTATTAGGTAATGATCTAGCCCTTGGTTTAATCATGAGATTCTAGAATCTATTCAAGGAAGGAATAAGGCTTTTAAGAAATGTAAGAACTCTCGAGCAGCCTGATTTTCTCCTATTTAAACATCACAGAGATTAAGCACAGAGCAGGATGGATGAAGCTAAGAGGGGTTACTTTGCTGATAAAATTATTGAGAACAAAAATTACCCAAAAAAGCTTTGGAAATCATTTAAGGAACTAGGCTGTAGTAGTATTACTAAAATCAAACTAAACAGTATTGGACTGAACAGCATGGGGGAGATGGTATATGAAGAAGTAGAGGTTGCCAATGAATTCAACTCTTTTTTTTACTTTTGTTGCCAGCAAGCTGCCCACCAGTTCTGGTTTGTATGGAAACGACCAAGTCAAGAAGTATTATGCTGAGTTAAGGGTTCAGTCAAACTCTTTTGCTTTTGCAAAGGTAGCAACAGCCAAAGTAGCCAGTATGCTAGCAGAGCTTAAATGCTTCGAATGCCACAGGCCTGGATAATATTCCTGCAAGGTTTCTTAGAGATTCTGCTGAGCAAATTGCCCCTTGTATTACGTATATTGTTGATCTCTCTCTTGAACAAGTCATCTTTCCCAGGGACATAAAACAAGCTAAAGTTATACCTCTGTATAAGAAGGAGATAAAGTCTGACCCTGGGAATTATAAGCCTGTATCTATCCTCAGTATAACATCAAATATCCTAGAGAGAGTTGTACATGAGCAAATGTATGAATATGTCAACAAACAAAGTTTAATGTATGATTTTCAGTCAGGGTTTAGCAAAACATACTCTACTGATTCATGTCTACTTTACTTGACTGACTTCATCAGGAAAGAGATTGATGAGGGAAATCTTTATGGAATGGTACTGCTTGACCTATAGAAGGCCTTTGATACAGTTAACCACTGTCTCCTAATCTCCAAACTCGAGGCATTGGGGTTATGCAGTATCTCTCTAGGCTTGGTAAAGTCCTGCTTGTCAGGTAGGGAGCAAGTGGTAGAGGTTAATGGTTCACTGTCTCAGGCAAAACCAATGAGTTGTGACGTTCCGCAGGGGAGCGTGCTTGGGCCACTACTGTTTTTACTGTATATAAACGATATGAAAGATGCTTGTTCTTGCCGTTTTTTTCCTTTATGCGGATGACTCTACACTTCTGGTGTCTCATAA